AAAAAAAAAAACTTCAAAATGGTTATTTTTTTCGGAAATTTGGAAAGAGTTTAATAGTATTAATACATCTGTATAAACATATTATTTTTGCTTATTGCCGCTATTATAAATGCGATAGAGATCAGGTTTTAAAATATGCACAGATATATTTGCATATTAAGCGGAAAAGAAAAGAAGAGGAAATAGGCTATAGATTGAGAATTTAATTTGGATATTGTGCGAAAGACAAATTTTTTTTGCACAACAAACAAACTTTTTTTTTTAAATTCAATTACCCGTGTGCTTCTCCGAATCTTGTAGCATTATGTCCTCCAACTGCGACACTTCGCTGCGGCCCTTGGCGTTCACGGCGTATGTCAGCAGATAGAAGCGCGTGGCCGGCAGGAGATCCGTCACGGCGATCCGGAAGATCGGCAGATCGGCCGACACGCTGGATATGTTCGCTCGAAGATGGCCGGTCAGCATCTCGTAAGCCTCAAGCCGGAACTCCTGGTGGAGCCCGCCGTCGTATCCCGGCACGCACTCGATCTCCAGGATCTCCGAGCTCTGATTGAGCGACGCCTTGATGGTGCAGTTGTTCAGGGGATTTGGTTTCACTGCACAAACGCGTCTTTGTCACGAAAGAATTTTTGCGCGTATGTATATACACGTTGTCTTCTTATTTGAAACTTTTTACTTAAGATTTTAGGTTTTATTAGGGGATAGATATTCACACATCAGATATGCACGCTATCTTCTGAAACTTCTCGATATATTTCCACTGTTGAAAGGCGCAAGAAGAAAAATCAAGATATATGTATGATATTAGAAAAAACAATTTTTCTTTGGCATTTAATGTGAATCAGATATAAAGTAAAAATCTTAAGTAAAACATAATGGAAGAAGTAAAAAATAATACGTTCCATCGCAAAGAATATTCAAACAAATATTTTCGAGTTTATAAAACACCGTGTGCGAGAAGCCAACTATAAGCGAGTTGAATAAAAAAAAAGAGCATAAATATCCGCGCCGAGAGTTCGAAACGCGAACATCTAAATATTATATGTTTACGTTAAACACGAAAATATATAATATTTAAATATTTTCGAAACATAAAATATATTTCTCTCTAAAAGCGGGAAAGAGGCGATAAGAGTTTTCATATTTTGATTCTGAGATACCTATACAAGAAAAAAAAAAACGAAAAAACAGAATTGATAAAAAAAAAAAAAAAAGAAGAAAAGAAAAACTGATGAAAATTCCATCTTTCTTTTCTTATAACGCGATAAATGTATCACCTGCCGGAATGATTTGATAGATGCAAGGCGTCTCCTGCTTCCCTATCACGTTCCTACCCCAGCAGGTCAGGGCGCCGTAATCCCTTTCGGATTCGGGGGTGTAAACGAGCTCGCTCATGGTGCCGTTGTTACCGTCGAACCTGGCCGGCGCGACCTCGAAGTTCTCGCCGCTATTGTTGAACTCCCAGACAAAGTCCACCTCGCTGGGATCGGCGTCGACCTCGCAGCGCACCTTCACGGACTCCTCCAGGGAGGCCCCGATGATCGTTACCTCCTTCAACTTGCAAACCGGCGCGACTGGTCGCGCGTAACGAGAGGAGGGGAAAATAAAGAGAGGTAAAGACGGTTCAGACACATTTTCGGGGGGAGAAAAAAAAAAGAAGTGAAATTATCGAAAGACGAAACAATTTCATCTTCCGCTATCGATCGGCAGAATTTCGACGACGAGAGGGATTATATCGAGTTTAAGTGCCGTTTTATTCGCCCTTAATCGGTAGAATTATGTTGTTCGTCGTAGGGCTTGGATAGGAGGGTTGAAAATAAATTGTTCTAAAATGTAATCCTTCATATCTGACGTCCGCGATATTCCGCTACCGAACACAATTACGCGCAGTTGGCGCATTGTGTAACGCGTATTTTGGAGTTTACCGGACGAAACAAGAGGAACAACGTTAAATGTAACTTTTAGCGATATATGAAAAGGTCAAAGGTTAATTTTATCGCAATAATATATCTTTTTGGAAATCGGACGTATTAATAATTCACTTTTATATATAGATCACGCCATTCGATGCAAATATATATGTATTAAATATTTATGTACTTATACATGAATATTTATACGATAAATAACGCGTATTTAGATATTTAAATCTATTTATGTAAAATATATACGAAATAAATTTTATAAATATCTCTCTATATTCAAATAGCGAAACTTTAATTTACAATCCGATCGATTGCCTAGAATTGCCGACGTTCAATCGCCAGAGTTATACGTCTGCTTTTTTTTGGGGGGGGGGGGGGTTCATTGATACGAGATCAAACTTGCGTATCTACTTACACTGTACTCTCAGATTTACAATCGGACTCGTCGTCTCTCCGCGATCGTTGCTGGCGAGACACGTGTAATTTCCCGCGTTGTCGCGACCTATACCTTGCAGCACCAGGCTCTGGGTGCTCATGATGATACCAGCTGAATGGTTTTGCGTCAGCACGGCGCCCTGTCATTGATGGATTAACGCGTTTAACACGGAGGTTGAAGATACGATAGCATTTTATACCATATTTCTTCGGTAATAAGAAAAGAGAAGGTGGCAAATCGATATCGTGTAAAATTTTTCGCTCCATACAAGCTGTTCTCGTCCAGAAGGGAGAGAAGAGTTCTCCTTTAATAGAATTATTTTTTTCTCCACAAATATTCGATAAATATTTAGAATATAGCATATACTTTTTTTCAATTTTTCTCGCATTTTTTACGAGGATGACGAAGGTGAAGATTCTCCAATTTCTTATAAATTCCTATTTTGGGAGGAAATCTAGCTTTTTTGGAAATTACAGATAACATCTTCAAAGTTCTCTGTTACAAAGTATCATATGACTCATAATCAGATTGATCTTTATTGAAATAAAAAAGTTGCTATCGATTTTCTCTCGTATAACAAAAAATTATCAAACATATTAAATACTCGAACTCTTAAATTAAATACTCGGAACTCTTTTTGACAAGAAAATTTAGAATTAATTATATCAAAATTCTAGAAAAAAAAAAACCGCTAGCAATAAGACTTCATAGAATACTCTAAATTAAATTAAATTAATTAAACTAAATAAATTAGATTTATTATTGTGGACTCACGTTATGGCGCCAGGTGATTTTGTGATGCTCCGGATTAGCGCGGACTTTGCATTCAAAGTACACATCGTCGCCCTCCTTTATATTCTCCGCATTCAGAGTGCTGCCCAGATGCAACTGTACCTTAGGCGGAACTGGAGAGAAGTTTTCGAGCAGCTTAATATTTTATGTAATGCAATCGTACGTACGTAATGGAATATTTCGGCAGAGATCCCGAAAAAAGATAGCCGTGAAATGCTGAACCACCGAAATACGTGAAGAAAGCAAGAGGGTATCGATAAGACACGTGATTCGTGTAACAGATTTACGACTTCTGGGCAGCGATCATGTAACTTTTCCTCTAGGGCGGAAACGTGAAAAGTGAAAAATTTTGCTATTAAAATTAATGGTAAATTTTTTCATTTTTCACGTTTTCGCCCTAGGGAAAAAGTTACATGATCGATACCCCGATAAAGGCAGAAATAACAAAATTCGTCGAGTGTCATTCGTATTTGTATTTTTTACATTTTTCAATCGACTTTAAATTATTGGCTATTTATCGGATTATCAAAATTGATTACTTTGACAGGACATTCCATATATTCAGACATTAACATCCTTGCACAATCGAGAAATTTCGCGGCGTGTATTCCAAATACAAATAAAAATGCATTTTTCTTGCAACATTAAACAAATTAATTACTAAAATTAATTATTATGAAATATTAGCGTGATATTAATTGCGATTAATCGATTTCGCGGTATAATTGTAACTGTATCTGCTTTCAGAAAGTTCCTTACAGACAACATTCAGCTTGAAGAAGTCCTCCAAGTACGCATCCGTCAGAGCCGGATTTTCGCCACGGCACTTGAGGATCTTGCCGTGATCGTCGGGGATGGGTGAGAATATCAGCGTGCTCAAAATCACCGACGCATTGCCGCTCTCCATTATCTGTCGGCACATTCAATAATTGGAAGATGAAATAAAATTTAGAGTCGGTATCGAAAAAAAAAAAAAAAATAACATCGCATTTCAAAGTATTGTTATATCGACCTTGCCGTTCCGAAACGTTTCGTTCCCCTCGATCCAGGTGATACGAGCGCGAGGATGCGAGCCTGTCGTCTCGCAGGTGATGGAGTAATCCTTCTCCGTCTCCATTATGGTTAATTTCGACAATATCTTCACGGTTAGCGGTTTTACTAGAATCAATCGGTAAATCAACTTTATTGTATGAGTTTGCGAGGTCATAGTAATTAATATTTAAGAATGCGAATTCTTTTTCCGATATCTCTTTCGATTTCTTGTTTCTTTTTTTATATTTCTTTTTATTAATCGCAATGATGTAATTTTTAACAAAAATGTTTATGTATACAGTATTTAATGATAATTTCGTTTTTTAAAAATTATAAATATTACTTTCAACAAAAATATTTATTTTGAAGGGTTGTAGAAGATTATTATTTTTGGAAATTAGATATATATATATATACAGGGTGCGGCATTTATAGTGACGCGGGGATATTTTTCGGAAACGAAGTGAGATATCAAAAAATGTTTCAGACAATTTACGGTTGAGTATAAGCTACAATTATCCGTATAATAGACTGACCCCGCTTCTATTTTCAACAAACCTGCTAATAATTTATCGAGTCGATAACGTAAATGCGAAAGGATTACTTTTCGCGGTCGAAATTTAACTAATGTGAATTATTAATAGGTTGAATGCCACGGGGATTTTGATTAACTTTGCAAAAGCATAATTAGAGATTGTATAATCAATATTGCGGCAAATAAATGCCATTTTTGTTAAATATATGCGTTACCTCATTTAATTGAGGTCTTCTCACTCGCGGTATACATAACTGCCAAAATGCGCAATTGATTGCGCTTTATGCAATCAAAATGGATCAGCGCGTTAATCCTTCAGTGGCTCTTGATTTTTCAATATTTTTTATCGCTTAATAAAGCAAAAAATCAGTTGCTTTCACATACCTACAAGCTACCGCAAGTATAGAGGAAAATAAAAATAAATGTAATTTTTCTACAACTAAAAAAATACAGAAAAATATGCATAGATATTCCTATAATTTTTAATTGTGTCAGTGGTATCGGTAATATCGGATTCACGTCGCTGAAAGAATAAGCGAAATTAAAGTCACTTTCGCGCGTCCGTGAAAATATTTTCTCCTCGCGGGAAAGACTAAAATGTATAGGGGCACTCACGATAAACGTCGAGGATCACCGACTTCTCCAACGGCGGTATTAGATGCGTGTTGTTCGCTCGGCATTTGTACGTCGTGTTGCGGTGCTCCCGTCGCAGCTGCGGCACCGTCAATTTGCTGACGACGATGCTCTCGAACTCCTCGAGTCTGCCGTTCATCTCCTTGCCGTTCACCAGCCAGCTCACCACCGGCGTGGGTTTTCCTTCGGGCCCCCGCGAAAGCACGGAAAGCAACGGAAATTATACGCGGCTAATTAACTCCCTCTCCTCTCTCCCCCTCTCTTTTCGCGTACCGTTGTCGATCAGACTTGCGTGACAGCAGACAAATCACCGAGGGCCATAATTACCCTTAATACCGGGTGTCTCCGATCGGGCGTGCCCGCGTAATACCCGGTCTGGCCACTTAGTGTAGACCAGAGTTTGTATTTAATTGCCAACGATAGACCGCCATTGTATCTCTCTCTTTCTCTCTCTCTCTCTTTCTCTCTGCCTCTTTTTATTTGTTCACGCGATGTCGGAAGAGGGATAGGGAGGGGATTTACACCGGAAGTTACGCGTGTAATGTGGGCCGAGTCGGGTAATTTGTCACACTCTCTCGCCGAGATTCGTATCTCCGACTAAACATATTAATGAGAAACCTGATTTCTCTCAAGGAGGGATTATGTAACGGATAAAATTTTACAAATGGGAACGCGTAACGAGAATCGTGCCCGGCGAATTCATTGCTGTTTTTAAAATACGGGGAGATTTGTTTTACCTCCTGGAACTCCGTATTTCACCTCCTGTCTCCGCCATTAACGTTAATCGGTATCGAAAAAAGGATAATGATGAAAAGAGGAAGATTATAAGGAAACAATTGTTTTACCGCGGTACGATTCGCGTGCACAAAATTAATTAACTGTACGCTAATGCTAATTTACCGTTTCTTGGTGTGTGAAAAAAATATATAAATGAGATATTCGAACGTACAACTAAAAATGTAATTTTATAAATGTAAATAACTCGTGAACGGAGATGCAAGAAGTGTAAGATACGCCTGTATCTGCACTTAAAAAATCAAAACCAAAGACACGAGTCAGAATGTACGACAACTTACCTCCTCTCACTTCGCAGGACAATCCAAACTCCATGCCGACCTGAAATGGTCCGGCGACGCTGTCCACCTGCACCCCGGAACTGTCATAGATGAGCAGCTGATGCGGCGGCACTGCGAACAATATCGCGAACGTGAAGCGTTCGCTTTTCATAATTGACGGATAATGGGCCTCGAATAAGCGTTTCTCGAGTCTCCGTCTTTTTAAGAACTCGCAAAAGTTAATTTGAAAGTTGCAAAAATGAAATTTCGATTAATTCCTCCCCCAAAGTTTCTGAGAAAAGTGGGTTAGACCGCGCCGGGCCCTTCAATTAGCGAAACCGCGAGAGACGGGTGGAGTGGGGGAGGGGGGGGGGCGAGATTGTTCCGGCAAGCTTAACTTTGCATCCTGAGATGAAAAAGGACCGTCGCGTATCGGCCAACGTTAACTGCAGCTAATAT